CTAGTCTAAAATGCACAGAAGAGCCACTCGATAAATGTTGGCTAAATGAATAGCCATTTTTTTTGTCTCTGCAAAGCTGGTTCATATTAAAGTTTGAAACTTCATTAGTGTTCAGTCAAGTGCCTATTCATGAGCAGCTGAACAGTCTTAACCTACAATTTGCATTCTTGAAATTAGACCTTTTTTTTTTTCCGTGTAAAATCATTACCCATGTCTTCATCAATCATTTATTGAGTACCTGCGATAACATAAGACATTCCTTTAGTTGCTGAGAATACTGACATGAGAAAAATACTCTGTTTTCCCAGTTCTTAAATTTCTCATGGAAGAAAAAGTTAATAAATTTTACTTAATAAGAAAAATATCAGATAGTGATATGTGCTATGTGGAGAATGATACAATGTGTCAGAGACAGGGTGGATCCTTTGGTGATCACAGAAGGTGTCTTAGTTTTGATTTCCCCAGTGGTAGACTGTGGGACAAGTATTCAAGGGCAAACATTTTGCCTGGGAGGTGGAAGAAACATCAGTAGAAGGGTAAGGAACTAAGACAAGGAATCAAGAACCCAATAAAAAGTTCCTTATCAGGACAGCTACCACTGCGAGCAAGGTCGGTTAACCCCACTGGGTAAACTCTGGGACCCAGTGAACATCCACATGCTTCTAGGTTTCCCATCTGAGGGGAGGAACTGGGGTATATATACCAGATTCTATCAGCCATTGGTTGAGAGTTGACGGGAGAGAGAGAATCAATTCCCTGGGACAGTCCTCCCTCAGCGTCCACAGAGGATTGATTCCAGGGCCCTCTGGATACCAAAATCCACGGATGCTCAAGTCTCTTATATAAAATGGTGTAGTATTCATATATAACCTATGCAATCCTTTAAATCATCTCCAGTTTACTTAAAATACCTAAATGCTGTGTAAATGCTGTGTAAATAGTCATTTTACTGTCTTGTTTAAGAATTAATGACAAGAAAAAAGTCTATATATGTTCAGTGCAGACACAACCATTGTAGGCCTAGGTACACAGTACACGTCAGCAACAACATGACATTTTTTTTGACAAATATTTTGCATCCGTGGTTGGTTTATACTGCAGATGTGGAAGCTGCAGATACAGAGGGATGATTGCACTTATGTCTTTCTGGGCAGCAAAGGGAGGCTCACAGCACAATGAGATGTAGGCACTTCAGCTGTGCATCAGAGTAGGCCATGCAGAGTACATGGGTGGACTGGCAGAATAACTCTCGGAGGAGGAGATATTTATGCTGGAATCTAAATATAGAGCAAGATTCAAGGTAAAATATTTCCAGACAGAAGGAATAAGAATCGTGCTTGGTATGTTCATCTAAGTTCACCTGGACAGAATGTATGGAGCAAAGGGAAGACGCATATCACAGAAAATCGGATCACAAAGGGCTCTGGAATCTAGAATGAAATGCCTGGAGTTTATGCTAGAAAGACATGGGTGGGAAGCACAGGCTTGACAAGATCTTATTGACATTTCTAAATGCTTACTCTGGTGCAAATGAATAGTAGGGTCTTGAGAGTAAGCAAGAAATTCAGGATGCTGCCGCAGGGGAATGGTGGTGCTGGTGACGGAGATGAAAAAAGCTGACCTGCTATTGAGCCAGATGTGCATAAAGGGGTGGGGAAGAGGTAGGATCAAGAATCCATATTTTCTTCATTAGCAACTCTGTATATGGTAGTGGTAATGGTACATCTTTTACTAAGAAGGAAGACAGCAAAGGGAGAAGTCTATTTGTGAGAAAAAAAGAGTCAAAGTTAAGATGCCTATTAGATATCTGCAGATAGATATACGAGCTTAGAAACAAAGAAGCATCAGAACTGGGAATAGATATAAAGGAGTCATCTAATATGATAGCATTTGAAAGCAAGGGGTTAGGTAACATCACCTAGGGGCAAAGAAGAAGCAGGCTCCAACAACAGACTTTCATATTACAAATAATAAATTTATGTCGACAATCTTTTACTGTGGTACAGTACAATGTACCCCACTAATCACAGCCAAAGCATTCTTTCATTCTTTCAATATTTTTGAATACAAAATAGATTTACAGCATTATACTGAGATTTGCAGGAAATTGAAGATATAAATTAATCCTCATTTTGAAGAGCTCAGGGTCTACAAACTGTTAAAGATTAAATATTGACCATGGTAACTGCCCTATGAGAGATACAGCAAAAGGATCATGGAAACTCAGGAGAAAGAGATTATTTCCACCTAGAAAACTCATAAAAGATTTTGAGTGGAAAATAGCATTTAAGCTGAGGCTTAAAGTCTTTTTAATTATGTAGACTTTGCCCTGTAAATACTTAGGAAGTAGATGCATTTCAAGAGTGAGAGACTTAAAGAACAAAACCACAGAGATAAGATATTGGAGGGAATATAATTCAGGAGTTCATTCAATAATTCACTTGGCTAGATGATAAAATATATGAATGTGATAGGTGGTGAATACATCTAGAACGCCAGATCCATTAAATACGGCTCGAAAGTATTCCATGTTAGGAAATAATTTATTTTCTGTGGTGCCAAATATATATTTGGTTGGATTTAAAAAAAATTTTTAAAGCCATAATTTCTTTTCACCTCCATTTTATAGAATATTATTTTCCATTATATTAATGTATCAAGGACAGTCATTATCCACTTAGAAATTCACTTCTCATTTATATCGTCCATTTTGGTTATTTTTTTCCATACTGTAGGTCATTTCACAGCAACTTTTCCATCTATCTATCTTATTTTATCTTTAAAGACTGAAAACTCATGCATTACAATTGGATCTGTGAAGTGGGAGCTAATTACTGGTCAGTATAAGGGAAAAGGAAAAGACCTAGGCTGGGCAGGAAGATGAAACACAGGCTCAGAACACTAAAGTACCAGGGGTCACCCTTGTGGGAAGAATGACTGGGGCCCGAAGACCAATGAAGGGACTAGGAGGCTACATGGACCACAAAGAGGTATTTCGACCCTGTTCCATGCTCTACACTCATCTCTTCATTTTAGATAGTCTTAATTTTAAACCATAGGTTCGGTTTCTTTTTGCCATTCTTTAAGAGACCATGAGAAACGTCCTTTTATGGTAACTGTAAAGACTTTTTAGTACACAGCTCCTAAAGAACAGAATTTACCCATGAAGAACTTTCTGAAAACCAGTGCATACAAGAGATTCCACTTTTTCTCATATTGCTTGTCATATGAATAAAGTTTATAATTACTGAAGGACCAAGTGTTTATCTCTATGGTGGTTCTCAAAAGCACTGTTATGCTAATAATACATGATTACACATACAAGAAAGCCAAACTAAATAACAAAAAGAAAACACAACAGGCAAATGATAAACCCAAAGAATGTGCATGCACTCTTTCAAAAAGAAAAAATGAGTAGAAATAATTGCAACATATGAATCCAAGGGGGCAATTTCGGAGGGTCAGTTTGAAGCAGTAGACAACGAAGCAATGACACTCCTGTTTAAACTGAGCATTATAGACGCTCAAGAACCTGGAAACCCTTAGTTTTAAAAAAATAAAAAACGTGCAAAAGGACAACCAGCAAGAAAATATAACATACAAATCAGTTAATCCTTTGGAAAATGACTAAATAATAATAAAAATGCTATGTAAATTATATGTTAATCCAATATTTAAATACTTCTGCTTCCAAAGAAAATTCATTGCCATCTGTTCAAAATTTAGAAATTATGAAAATATCATACATTCCATGTCCTGAGCTCTCTAGGTGAGATTCCAGTTAGGAGAGGAAAGGGAAGAAAAAGGAAATAAAGGGGGAAAAAGTATCATATTCTATAAAAATAATTTTTATAGTTCATCAAATCCACTTGTCATAGCAAAAAAAAGATTACAAAAAACAAAAAAATTATAGAACTATTATTCACCAGTTAACAACAACAACAAAAAACAGATTTTGCCCCATGGCATCTACACATGTAATTTCTCTTTTCCCAGCCTTCCGGAAAGCATCAAAACACAAAAGAATTATCCGACGAGACAAAAATCCTCTTCTCCTTTCTCAGAGAATAATTTACTGTTCAATAAGGGTTAACTCAAGTCAGCATGAAAAAAAAAAAAAAAAAAAAGAGGGAGAGAGAGAGCGCTCTAGTGTTCAACCTTTATGCAGAGTACAGCAGACTGGAAATATTCCCTAGTTATTTATCCTTCACTGACATGGATATTAGGAATAGTTGATAACACTTTTAAATACTTGGTTTCACATCAAGTTACCTCTCCTACTTTCAAATGGCTCTTTCAAGATTTCTGTGTTGACAGGCCAGAGCTTATAGTGTCCTGAGAAGTACACAGCCCTGCTCAGGAGGCCCACACAAGTAGAAATGTTGAAAAAAATCTCCAGTTCACAGATGGTAATATACCAGATGCTAGAACATCAAATAGGTTGCCATTTGATTTTGGATTTAAACTAAATGAACTGGATTATGAACTGGATTCATTTGTCATTAGACTCACATTTCTAACTCCCAAAAGCCCACTTTAATTTTTACCTCACTGGGTAACTTACATCTATTTTATGCAATTATTTCTTAGAATTGCATTTAAAATTGCATTTTCAGAAATAATTTTGTTCAGAAGCAGATTAAAAACATTCTAGATAGTTCATCCTTATTACTGGATGACTTTTCCAAGTAGAAACGTGGAAAAAGAATTTCAGGCGAAGGGAAGAGCATATAGAAAATTATGCAAAAATCAGATTTGGGGAACTGAAAAGGTTTCAGAACACCTGAGACATCTGAGGTGAATGGATAAGGCAAAAAGACATTTGAGCTTGATTAATGAAGGATTTGTAGGATAGAAATAGTTTCCGGGGGGTGGGGGAAGCAATGTATAGAATGAATTATTTATATTATCTTAAAAGACATCTTATTTCAATAAGGTATTACCACAAGTCATATAATTATAAACAAAAATGAAATACCATTATACAATTGAGACTCCTTATAATACAAACCACAATGAAGAATCTAGATTTACATTTTTATTGTATATGAAAATCAGCCTCACTTCTTTTCCCTTATCCCCTTATTATTGGTTCTAATTTCCCTGTTCAGTAATCCCATAGCCTATTTTAACTTTCTTCCCCTGCTACCTATGGAAGGGAGATGGGGAGCCGGCAAAGTGTGGAATGCAGCAAAGTCATTCTGAATAGACAAAAATCACAAGAATTGTAAAAGCAAAGGATGTGACAGCCTCAGAATCCTGACCTTTCGAACTTGAAACCAGATGTATGACTCAGCTCCCCAATACACATGAATTCTTTTGTATTATGGGTAAAATGGCAAACATTTCCTGTTATTAAAAGATATTTGGATTACCTTCCCAAGAGTAATGCAAAGCTTCTGAAAAGATAACTGCACAGTGACAATAAGAAGATTGTTAAGAGTGCCTCTAAGCTAGGGAGCAAAGAGTATTATATTTCCACTGAGAAGAACACTTAAATTATAGACAAAGATCCATCAAGGCTTAAGTCGCCCAGAATCACATTAACCTCTTTAGTTAGTGGCATATGCTTCAGGACACATGACAATCACGGGGCTGGCTTGCTGTGGGAGAGGAAGGTCAGTAGCGATTCTTTTTTATTACTATCTAGGAAAAAATGGCCCAAAGTAATCTTGAAGCATATGACACCTTAACTGTTTAATATATCTGGGACAACGAGGCCAAGACAATGGACAAATGCAAGGCTGTTAATATTAGAAATGAAGCTGCCGGCCTTTACTTCTAGAAAGCTCCAGTCCATGAAAACTTGGACCACCCAGACATTTGCTATGTTAACTATCCTCTTAAACTGAAGTGGAGATATTTATTCAGAATTATGGTTTATACTTACAGTGCTACATATCTTTGTATGAATTTTAAACATTACACTTATAGGATTTTTTTAAACTACATCTGTTGAACAGGAAATTCTCAGGTAGTAGAGTTTTCTTTAATTTTATTTTAGAATCTTCTTTCCCTTGACAATTGTTCCATGCAGTCTTCATAAAAAGTACATTATAGTGACATTTAAAAAGTACTTATAATATCTGGTCATGACATTTATAATATATGACTTGGCTTAAAAATAGCTCAGTTTTTGAAAATGTATAAATAAAAGAAGTGAAGGGGGTATTTACTTAACAGATGCAACGTTAATTTAATCTATTACTGGGAATTTTTAATTTGCCAAAATGCCTGTTTTTGTCAGTAGTCTGACTGTGTTAAATTCCTCCTCACATTTCCTACCATTTATATTTATAAGGGTAACATTTAAAAAAAAATTATAATTGAATGCACTTAGGTTTAGCTTCAGATATTCAGGCAGGCATAATATTTACTTTATCTAGTTAAAGGAAGTAAATCCAGAAATGGCACACTTTGTGCTCAAAGAGTAAAGAAAAAAGTGTGAAATGAGAGTTAATATTTAATCATAATCATCACCTGGTAGAGTCAGACAGGCCTGTTGAGAATCTCACCTCTGCCACTTCACACCCAACTGTAAGACCTTGGAAAAGTTCCATAAGTTCTGTGAGTCTGAGTTGTCTCACCTGAACAGAAACGTCAGCTAACTCACAGGTTTGCTTAAAGACCTATATGAAAGAGAATAAGAAATGCTGGCCCACAGTAAATGTCACTAGATATTAGCTGAATAGCCTTCTCATAAAATGAAATGTTGCTCATGTATTTAATAAAATATTCAAACCAACTACAGTAGATTCTCATTATTTGTGGATTCTATATTTGCTCTCCCTATTGGCTAAAATTTATTTGCAACCCCAAAATTAATATGTAGAGCTTTTGTGGACGTGTAGAGTGGCAAAACCTTTGAGTCATCCAAGGCACACATTCCTAGCTGATGTGGAACAAGGTGACACTTTGCCTTCTTGTTTCAGCTCTCATACCATAAACAGTTGTCCTTTTTGCAGTGTATTTAGTGACACTGTTTCACATTTTTGTGCTTGCTGTTGGGGATTTCACTGTTTTAAATAGCCCGAGCATAGTGCTGAAGTGCTGTCTATTATTCCTAAGCACTAGGAGTCTGTGATGTGCCTTATGGAGAAAATTCATGTGTTAGATCACTTCCTTTAGGCATAAGTTATAGTGTCGTTCACCATGAGCTCAATGCTAATGACTCAACTATATATATTAAGTAAAGTGTCTTTAAACAGAAACCAGGTTATGCATTGATCGATTGATGATAATGTTGTGATCAGGGGCTCCCAGAACCTGATCCTATATTTCCCCTAAGAGCAATGTTCAATATTTGCTAATTCAGTGTTTGCATTGACTTTATAGAACATAACTACCATGAATAATGAAAATTGACTGTATATGCTATTTGTTACATTAAACAACAGTAATACACAATTTAAAAACCCAGATCATTGCTTTCAAGGAAATTAAGATGTCAAGTACACAATGTGTAAAACATTAAAATACAAACAGATAATCTGTATCTTTCCTTTTTGGTTATATAAAATGCATAAACATCAAGTCATAATATTAAAATATTATATTACATTATGAATGTAATATTATAATTATTATATTATCTATATAATATTGTGATTATTATATTATAAATTATTATGTTATAATATTAAAATATAAATTACCATTCTCTTTGGCTGGACTCAGATAAAATGCTCAGCTTATTTGCTAGCTTTATGACTTCCTATCATAGGCTGATGTGTCTATTAGTTAAATCCATATATGCCCATCAACTCCATAGGCTGTTGTTTGTCTGGGATGTGAATTGTTTTCCTTGAGAGTAAACTTTAAGCCTTAACTGTATCTTAAGAATAATTCAGAATTACGGGAAGTAGAACGACCATACTTCAGGTCTTTCTCCTCCCCACAACCTCCACCCCAAGCCTCAACTATTAAATAGACAACAAAACCAATACAGCATACACTGCCTTAGGATCTGGGATTCATGATTCAGCATTCCTCATGAATTTACCCAAATCATAAACTGGATTCTCTCTCAGCTTTTGGATAAATAAAGTCTAGGCCTGCATTATTAATTACTTAAAGATCCTTTGATATTTAATTTACATATATTATCCTTTTGTTTTAAAAATATGCCAATCCAAACACCCTACTCCAACCTCTACTGCAGTTATCACATCACCACTTTAAAGTTATATTTTTTTTCCGGTTCCAAATATTATCTCAAATTATATTATACAACAACATGTGTGTAAACTTGTAATGTTGACATCATGAACAGTGTGAATTCACTAGAAAAATAACTCAATGAGTCAGATGTAGAAACAAGAAATAACAAGCAAGTTCAACCTTACATGAAAGAAAATTCTACAGGCAGCAAGGCCTTCTCATTTACTGGATTTTCTCTCACCAACCTAAAAAATAAAATTAGGCTCATAAAAGAGGTCTTCAAAAGACAAGTTTATACAAATCTCTTATATAAGAAAATCCATTTTCCATTTAAATGGCAATGAAGAATCCACTTCAGAATTGTATTATGAGCCAAATGAAATAAATGAAGAAAATGTTTTATCATTGTATATTTAAATCTTAGTTTAAATAAAATAGCTTACGAAAACATGTTATTTCATCAATGTGTCTTCAGAAGAAATCAAATTAACACATCCTTCTAAGAAATATTAATTCCAAGCACTTATATAGTAATTTTGATTCCTAACTCTGATCCTTCTGCAAACTTCATAGAATTATCCATATGATACAAAACTGTCAACATTAATAGCAATTTCATGTTGATGGAAAGCAGAATAAAGATGGAACTGTACCCACTAGAGTTCACAATATACAAAGCTGTTAGTGGCTTATTGGAAAGAAAGTCATGGAAATTGGTAAACAATTACAGTTTGTCTACAACACTACTTTCTAAAACAACTGTTCTCTATTTACAATCCTATGCAAAGAATAAAGAACTGCTTTTCTCATTTCTTCATGATATCTGAAACAATTAACAGTAATTCAGAGAGATTCCTCACATATAAAAGGCCTTTATAATGTTGAACAATGTGAATTACTTAAAATACATATTTAAAGAATCAAACCACTGATTTACAAGGAAGTATAAAGAAAACCATCTTACTACTACAAATTAATTATATTCCAATTTGACGATATCATTTACATTCTAAGTACCTGAGTTTATATTTCCAAGTATCCCAAAAAAGTTCAAAAAGTATAGCACTTAATCCAGAGAGATTTAGACCAGTCTTCTCTAAAATTTCGGAATTATGTCTACACTAGTAGAGTGGATGCCTTAACCATAGAATTGGAACATATATATTGAACACTATAAACAGTTGATTTTATTTATTCACTCAATAAATGCTTAATAATGTAAACCAGAAAAATAAACCAATGGGTGAGACCCAAAAACAAAGAATCTTTTCCTTTTTGGAGACTTTACTGTAATGGGGCAGTTAAAAGTGTTAATTCAGAAAGAAAATTACACAATATTATAGGAATAAATGTCACATCCACAAAGGCCTGGGACTGGTGTCTCTTGAGCACTTGTCTATACCCATGACCTGGCACTGGGGTTCTCAAAGTATGCTTTGGAGACCTTTTATGGGTCTGTAAGATCAAAGCTATTTTTCCACAAGCATGCAATCAAGTTTTCCTGAGGTTACCTCATAATGTATGACATCACAGTACAGACACAAATATGAGAATTCACCTGTCTCCCAGTAAGCCAGACACTAAAGAAATTTTCAAAAAATGTAAAACAATGCCAATCTTCTTACTGTTTTTGCTCTGGAAAATATTTTTTTTCCCATAAAATATGTTACTGTTATGTTTATCCCTGCTATTTTTAAATGAATTAATAAATATGTTTAAACTTCAGTTTTAATTTCTAATATGATAAATATCAATACATAAAATCCACACAAACAAAAGTTTTTTGGCATTTTAATAATCTTCATAAGAATAAAATGATCTTGAGACCAAGACCAATGGTCTAGCACATAATTGATGCTCGATAAGTACTGAATCACGAATTAAAAGGAAGGTATACTAATGCCATGATTACTGAGCTAATCTGAAGACATGGGTAGAGATCTATGAAGTGAATGAAAGATGGGGAGAGGAGAGAGAGAAGAACTTTTCTTTAACAATGTACACAATTTATGAATAGTGCTATTTAAAATATTTTCCAAGCAGTTGAGCAATTTGTAGAAAATGATTAAAAATTAAGTGTTCCTTTACAAATGAGAAACTGAACAGGATAAGGAGCCAACAGCCATGGAAAGATAATGCCTCTCGACAGACTCTATTCTGTAGTACTGGAGAATATCCTGAATTCAAAGCTAGACATCCAACCATCTTTCACAGAAATATTGTGCCGAGATAAAAAGGGTGGTTTATTATTAGCTTTCTCATTTTCTAGAATGCATCACTTTAAAATAATGTCATATTGATCAATATTGATATTTGCTTTTAAAAATAATGTCAAATCAAAAGAAAATATCAAATATGTGTTTGTCAATGATATTTCCTAAAATTACACACCTATTATTCTTCTTTCAACTTTCATGTTGGTTAATAATTTCTTGGAATATATGAATACACGAGACTCTTCAACAAGGACAAATTTTGAAGTTACTTCAGTAATATAATAAAATACCATATATTCCTTGAAGGAACACTAGCATTCTACACATGATATAATCAAAATAATAAGGTGGCATTGACCATTTTGCAAGCAGAACCTATAACAAAACTAAAAATTGAACAGGAACAAAGGTAGCTTTGAAAAAAAAAAACTTTGACTTTTTACAAAACCTTTCATAAGTTCCTGGACAACCTATTATAAATAAAGAAAGGTAAGTATAACAAAACCACTTCTAAGATTTTATAAAAGGGAACCAGCTAGTGAAACGTTTTTTTGGACCGTATCAAAAATATACTCTTGAGCACCTAGCCCTGTGGTCTGCCTAAAGGCCAGAGGGAAAACCCCTTGTTGACCATAAAAGGGCTGCCTGCATGTTCTCAGTGGAAATTATACAGGATCTTATTTACACAAGTATAAATACATGCCATTCCTTTGTGCTCACAGGCGCTCCTGAAGGCTGGCCAAAAGAGGACAGTCCACGGGCCCGATGCAAACAGGATTCACAACGTCTATCACATTTTTCCAACATCTAGTGTACTTTCTTTCTCTAGCTTATCTTCTTTCATGATAAAAATATCTACAAAGCATAAGAGCACGATAATTTAACAGGTGGTATCTCTAGAAATACTTGAAAATAAGCCTTTAAGTTTCAGCAGAAGGAGAGAAAGCACATTTCCCATAAATAGGCACTTTTTTCCTAGTAACATTACAGCTGTGTGAAAACAAGGATAAAGAATGTATTTGTGGTCAATAACAATGCCTTATCTATTTACATTTCTTAGTAGCTTAGAAAAGTAAACTTTAAAAACTCCTGAGAAACAATAACACACAAATTACCGTGACCTAAAATAGACAAGGAAAAAAAAGGTAACGATGAATTAAAGGAACAGCATAATGCAGGTACAAGATATTTGGATTGTGTGTGTATGAATAATTACAATACGTTGATCAGAAAATGAACAAGTAGATATGACTATAAATACAGTGAATAGTTTCTCTTTAAAACTCAGGAAATTCTGAGATTTGAGCTTGGTAATATATGTTCAAGAGGCACTGCATAGATCTCAGATTATCGTTCTCAGCTAGAGTTCATGGGTGACTTAAAGACTGATCATAATGCTAAAATGAACATTAGCAGTCATCTAATATGATTATCTTTTCACTGAGTGAACTGCCTATAAAACATTATGCTTAGTGGTCTCACAGTCCAGAGAGACTCAAACTCTTTTCTCCAGAAACTTATCTACCCAATAATGCTTAAATGCTGCCACTTCTATTTAAGGTTAACTCGTACCAGTGGGTAAGATAAAATGCAAGTCTGGCTCAACCTCCAGAGCATCAGATGTTATCAGGAGTGCAGAGATAATCAGTGACTGAAGTCAACAGCCTTGAAAGGGGAACAAACACCTATGAAGCAGCTCACTTCATGTCAGTGAAGCTCTGGTAAAATGTTTTACTGATAATGACCGAGTCATTAGTTAGTCATTCTAGTATCCCACAGTACTTGATAAATCTACTTTAATGAGTCTTTGCTAGTCAAAGTGTGGTCCACAGACCAGCAGCATCAGCATCACATCAACTTGTAAGAAATACAAAATCTCAGGCTCCACACCAAGCCTACTAAAGCAGAATCTGTATTTTAACAAGATCCCAAAGGGCTTAAATAAACATTCAAGTTTGACAAGCCCTGATCTAAATAATTGCATGCAGATTATTTCTTTAATGTTCTCCTGCGAAGCTACACTGTACTGTTTTTTTAGCATCCTTGTGTCAAGTCTTTTCTTTTTCATTCTATCCAATTTGTTTTTAGAATCCCCTGTTCATTTTCAGCCCATCGAGCCAGGAAGATGGGCAGAAAAGTCAAATATATTAAGCAGACCAGACATTTTCCAGGAGTTTTCATTAATGCTACTCTGTGAGGTAGTTTTTTTTTAATTTTAAAATTTTACAAATTAGAGACTTAGGCATACAGAAAGGGTTAAGTGACTAAGTTAAGATCACATAAATAACAAGTGGGTAAACTAGGATATAACTCAGTTCCAGGCTCGCTAAGTCATATTTTCACATTCTGCATTTTCTTCCTTTATGGATTCTTATCCCAAATGTCCAGACTTTTCCTTAAAAAAAAAATATGTGGTGTTGATAAGAAAAAGTTCCCAGGTATTTAGAGCTCTCCTCGGCTTCTCTACATTTAAGAAGAAATCATCCAAACCAAATGAGAGCTTTAGTTCTAACAAATTAAAGTGACTACTAGAGGCAGGGCAGTGTCAAGATTAAGGACACACACCCTGGAACCAGACTGCCTGTGTTGGAATCTCTTCTCAGCTACCTGACCTTGATTTACATTCCCCTTTAATTGGGAATAATACTAGTAACTGTCCTCATAGGTTTTTTTTTTAAGGAGTAAAGGAATTAATGTATGTAAAGCATACCTTAATGCATGTCTGGTGTATAGTAAGCACTCCATATGTGTTACTATTTGCAATTAAATAGAATTTCTGATTTTAGTACAATGTGCCTCTGTTTGAAAAAAAGAAATTTTTTAAAGCCAGTCTTCCACTTAGCTAAGCAGTAAGTCTTCCAAATCAATACATTTGTTTCTTTCTTTTATTGATCTTAAACTCACATACACTGATCACTTATCATTATTAAAAATGAAGAAAATCCGTCACAATGTCACAATCAATTCATGTGTCTACAAGTTCCTAGTTAGAGCATCAAAGTCCTGAAGACTTTTACAACAAACAGCAGGCCAAAGACCAAGACACATGTCCAGACCAATAGGTGAAAGCCTCAGGCTCGCTCCTTACAATCTGTTCACAACTCCCAATTTCCAGTCTTCCAGAAAATCCTAACGGCTCTAAATTCAGAATATCCAAAATCTAACCACTTTCCTACTTCATTCTGATCTAACCCTCAATTAAGACATTCCTTCCCTTCCTCCACTATAGTCTAGTCACAACCCAGCAGCAATAATAATCTCTATAAAATGCATCACTCAACTGCTCAAACCACTGCAACAATCAGTGTCAGGCATAGTCCTCTCTAAAGGCCTTGCCTTTCCTACCGGCCCCGTCCATGAGGTCTTCTCCCCCCATCCCCTTAGATGTACACTCCAAGTCACCTAGCGAAGCCCCCATGACCTCCTGTAAACTACAACAACATCCTCTGACCCCACACACGCCCTCTCTCTCAGTACACAGCACTAATCATGTTCTATCATTCCAAGTTACTCACATGTTTTATTTGTCATCTTTCACTCCTCACTATAATTTAAACTCCATGAGGTCAGAGGTTTTGCACATTCTGTTCACTGCCTGTAGCATCGCCTGCCTCTAGTATCTTGCTGCATATGTAATAAATGCTCATTGAATATTTATTGAAGAATAAAGGAATAGGGAGCATTTTTTCATTCCTAGACTAACGAACGAATAGTCTAAACATCTCCTAGTATATCAAGATAGAAATAAATATAAACATAGACATAAACATAAACATAAAATCCCAGTAGGAAAAACTTAAGACAGCAATATGCTTTCTCCTACGCAAAAATCTAAATCAAAAGCCGAAGATTTAGAAAAAAAGGGGGAAAAAATACCCTTCCAATTTATAGAAGCTAAACAACTACTGCCTCTTTTTCCATAGCAAGGGAGGAGAAAAAAAAAAGCATTCAATTTGTGAGTTTGTGAATTAAAGAGATCACCTCTCTCAGTTAAAGAGGTCACTCTCCCTTAATGTGACAGTTTAGCTCAGGGAATGAATGCAATGACCTTGTACAAATGAAATTGCAGGGGCCGACTGACAGAGCAATTACTCATTTGGCCAGCACACTGCCTAACAACTCATAATCTTGCAAAAAGCACCCTGGAAATTTTAATGACGACACAGACTCAGCAGTTTAGTTTCAATTCTAATCTGAAAACTATCCAATAGTGTACCACACTCTCTATGATGAGATCTGCTCATGAGTTCATAGGACTCCTGAATTACCTGGCCCATTATCAGGAGGATTCCAGCCCTTTGGTGCGACAAGCTAATCACATTTCGTCCAAATCAACTGCAGAGAACTAAGAAATTAGAGTTCATATTCTTTTCTCCTCTCATATTTACTTGAGTAATACTTATCATTCCAACAATGGGATGCTTTAGCCTTGATATTTCCTATTGTAAACTATAAAGCATTTATTATAGTCGTAAAAAAATGAGTAAAAGTACGTTATGTCCAACCTATTAAAACATCCTACAGAATATGCAGAAAAGTGCTGTGAGTCCAGCAGAAAGTACTAGTTAGTATTATTCACATCTGACAGAGAAGACATAGAGAAAATAATTTTAAAAATCAAGAAAGTAAGGTAAAATTCTAAAATGTCTCTGTATCTACCACCTAGAATATGAATATGTACTCAAATTGAGGTGAAATAGTTCTTGTTTAACAGACTATGTTAAACAAGCTAATCAGAAATACAAAATGCACAAACCAGAAAACGAAACTAACCCATTTAAAAATATACCATACAATATTTCACCCAAAATTATTCCATTTATTTGCTAATGAAAATTATAAACAAATATGTTAGAGCAGGGTTTTTACCTGTTTTGAAAAATGGCCTTAGTAGTATTTCTTCATTTAATGAGCATGGTTTTTTTGTTTTTTTGTTTTTTTTTTCAGCGAAACAAATCTCTTTTCCAAGGCAACAGAGCTTAGTTTCATTAAGGTCACTGAGGGAAGAGCTTCTGCCTTTTCTCAAGAATTCACTATTTATCAAGATGACCTGAACTGAAAGGCTCGTCATGATGAGGTCGACAGAGCCAGACCCCAGGGCGAGACTTGTGTTCTAGTCCTGCTGCCAAGAGCTCCATGACTAAGAAAATGGCTTCGCCTCTTAGAAAACAAGATGAGGGCTGACAAGACCTGCCTACATCTCTCCCAGCACATGTTCTCAGATTTTTAGAGGCTGTCAGACCTGACAATTTCCAGAATAAAAGCATTAAAAAGCATCTTCAAGTTTGTATCAGAATGTTTGAAATCATTTGTAATGTTACTTTGGTGAAGAAGGTAAAGGACCAGAATCTCAGTTTCGATGCTGAGAAGGATGGAAGCAGAGTGTGCATTACTCTGCGCAGACATCCTGGTGGCGCAGTGGTCATGAGTCACCATTGCCAATGTTAAACTACGTAAGAGAAGGAGGTCAGCAGAATGTACAAAAGGAATCCCCCTCTGACCTTTTACAATTCGCGCCACTAGGAAGTAAACAGGATAGAAGACCAAAGGGGAAAAAATAGCTGGAACATAAACAAGCCACTGACTAGGAATCTTCAGAATATGTATAAATACATAGCTTTTGGCCCCCCAAAAGCCTCTGCCATGGATGGACCCCACCCTCCACGACATACACAGAGGGTGGCTTTGGAACTTGCTTCCCTATAAAAAAAAACTCCAAATTTACTTCCCTTCTCAATATTCTCTTTCAGTTTAGGGTTCTCCCCAAGATGGCTTAGTCAGTGTACTTTGAGGAATTCCAGACTTTGCAGACAGAAGTCTTCGTTTGAAACAAAGAACCATAATTATTCAAAATAAAGGCATTGACAATGAACGATAAAAGATGCATGGTAAAATGAGATTCAGGAAACAAAACGTCTGTGTAGTTTTTTTGTTATTTTGGGATTTTTTGTTTGTTTGTTTTAAATATATTACTTATTTCATTACTCACATGTTAGTAAACTGATGAAATATGATATCCCAAAATAAGTGCCTTCGTCGAGGTATAATTTCAATCCCGGGCATAAAAACAAAATTATCACTATAAGTCTTCTTTTTCCATTCCCTTCATTGAAACTTGAGTGTCATAAATACAAACTATGGTGTTTCTTCCAAAAATAATAATAATAATAATATTCTTTGTAAAAGAATTTTCTACATGTTTTATACCTGGAGTTTGAAATAATTTATATTCTTGACTTTCAAAAAGGTAGTCACAGAACAAATGAGCTTCTATACTGCAGAATGAGGAAGGAAGCAGCCCCAGGGGCAGTGAGGGACTGGCACGAGCTGCCTGATTTCAATAAGGGACTGGGTGCTGGCATGTCTGAAGGAGAGACTGTACATAGAAAGACAGTAACGTTCGGTTTCTCAATCTGCTCACCTCAATAAATGTGACCAGCAAGAGTCTACGTGGTCAATACATATCTTGGGTCACCATGTGCTAGAAAACGAAGCTGCAAAGGAAGCCAATAATTTTTTGTTTGGGGTTTTTTTTTTTTTTTTTCATAGTTTATATCACACACACTTGTCTGTAAACAAAGTCCACGGTTTGCAACCTAATGGCAGGTTCCAGATGTTTCCAACAAGTGTACCAAAAAGACCCACGATATTTTCTTGATCTTTAAGGCTTAAGAGCAGGATGTGCAGACTACACACTAAGCTTTGAAAAAAAAGGAAAATGAAGAAAACTCCATATGGTGCCAAATGTTGGCAGCTATCTTCTTTCTTCCCAGACAAAACTCTTAGGTCTTGTGAAAACATTTCTTGTAAAATGCCAAAAACAACAGAGATAATGGTTGTGATGGTTCTCCCTTGCTGACTGCCCGCAGCAGCCTTATTGCTTTGACTATATCCACATCAAACCTCTAAGAGCCAACTTTAAATCTTAACCCCGAAGGGCAATCTTTAGGAATGCTATCTCCTAGACTTCTAAAAACAAGTCTTGCATTTTAGGTGTTTTCCTTTAGAATAGAAGAAAATGCTATTGTTTGTATTTGTCCCCTCCCCCACTGTTTAAATTAAGTTTAAAAAATCAGCAAGCTTCGTTTCTACTATAGTAGTAATATAAGATCTTCATAGAACATGTAGAAAATACAAAATGTATTTCAGGAAGTGAAATATCGGCAGTCTTACTGCTTCTTTCTAGCAGTAAATACTAACAATAGTTTAGTATGTTTCATTCTAGTCCTTCTACATACTTGGAAAAATGTATGTGGGCATACATAAAAATATTTTAACTCCTGTTTTTGCCATGCTTTTTCACTTAACATTATAGTGTGAGCATTTTCCCATAGGGAGACATCATTTTGATCATTACCCCATATCCCATGTGTAATGACAGCTTTGTATAATTCACAGCATTTCTCATAGGAGGTTTATTGCTCTACTGGCCACCATGGGACCAGTGTTAAATTCATTGATGGCATGTACAGCTGAAATCTGAGAAAGGTGAGAACGAATTACAGTGTAGAAAAGTGGAAACCCAAATGCCCATCTCTAAACATATTCAGTTCCTTGATTTCTTCAGAATGAGAGAGAGAGACAGAGACAGAGAGAGAGAGAGAGAGAGAGAGAGAGAGAGAGAGAGAGAGAGAGAGAGAGAGAGAGA